TTCTTTTAGGAAATTTACAGTGGATTTTGATGTGTGACTGCTAGCTTTGTCTCGATGGAGTCTCAGAGATTGATGGTACTGTTGGTAAAGCGATGGTATTTCATTCAGAAAAATTGGCAATAAAATATGTTCCTGATAGTGTTTGGAGTTAATCTTGACATTTTTCTGCACTCTTTATTTTTAACTTGCCATTATAAGAAAAACCAGCAAAAACAGCAACAATCAACAATCATGAATCCCTTAGAAAAAAAACTTTCTTTCGATTCTTTGAACCATGTACTTAAATTTTTTCTCCCCTTTTATGGTAATAAATGGCTCTTTTTTTGTTACAATCATTTAAATACACCCATGCTTCATCTATTGCGACAATTGTTTTCCATTTTTCTTTGGATAAGTTATTCTCATATAGAATTCTGCAGCTTGTCCTGCATTGAGCGATATGCTTTGGAAGAAGATGACGCAGATTGCATTTTTTTGCTTTCTTAAGATTTAAATCAACGTTTATCATTTTGTTTACAGTGGAGACCGAGCATTTTAATGATGTTGCAACTGTCCTTTGACTATGGGAATTTTCTTTTAACATTAAACAACGTACCTTTGCAATAGTCGAAGATGCCCGTTTTTTCCTTGGATACTTGTTTGGAGTTTTTGTCCCACGTGAGGCTCCAATTTGACATTTTTTCCTTTCTTGTTGATGATATTATCTATCGACGCTTTAGATATCACAAAACCATGACTCTCACATCATTTTTGGATAACGGAGTATGCATAGTTCTCTTCGGAAAGATAAATGTAGCCTTCAAACCACTACTTTGTTAAATTCGCCATTTTTAATAAAAACAAAACTTTTAAGCCACAGACAATAATATTGACTTTTAAAAACATAGTACAATTTCAATTACTTCTAGAGCAAAACAGTGTTGTAGGAGGGTTATTGCAATTTATGAATCGTGTTATAGCGAAACCGTGTTGTAGGAGGGTTACCTGTATGTCATAGACTTGGACATCTTCATTGAATAAACTGATTCAAAGGAGGTCTGATGTGCTTATTAAATGAACTGATTCTCATGTGCTTTGCCAGTACTATAATTTAAGTACCTTCTTCTTGTCATTTTTTCCAGTTGCTTAGAATTATTTACTCTTTTGTTTTGCTTGTATGTTAATTCAATTATTTTCTTAAAATGATATATAGATGGAAGTTTCACTTTGCAATAATTGTATAACTAAATGAGTCTCTTTCCTAAACTCTGTTTTCTTTCTTTTATTCCCTCATGAATCATACAGTTTTCTTTTACAGCTATTGCATTTCACCTTTCTTTCAAACTTATCATTGTTTTATTTACTTTGTGTCAACTTTTCCAGAATTATTTGCAGGATGTCAAGGATTTTAATCAGGTAAAAAAAGAAAGCATTGATTAAAGTTCTCCTATTTTTTAAAATGATGGGAAATGTGTTAAAAATCAGAACTTAAGATAATCTCTAATACTTTTAAAGATATTTTATTTATTAAGTACAGAAAATAAAAGCTTTTTAAAGCAATAAAATTATTGAAATATTTTAAACAAACCGTTTGTTATTACAGTGGAAGAAAGTTCACTTCCTCGTCCATCTAGTCTTAAGCATAAATCTGTTAATGAGTGCGCTAATTCAAAACACATGGGGCATGATATAAGTAAATATGTTGTAAAAACAGCTTCAGCTCCATAGTCTAAAATAGATCATCAAGTATGTAAATTTTATTTTGTTACAATTACAGGACAAAATCCGAGATCCAGACTCATTGGTACTTTAGTCCTATGTCGAGAATTCCCATTATACTGTCAATCAGAATCTTTTAATTCTCAAAAATCTTTTTGTTGCTTTCTTCACAATTGGTAGTGGTATTTTCTGTATTTAAAACCATACTACAGATTTCACCATGTGTTAGTTGATTGCTGATTGGTCCATTGTCATCTCAGTGGAAAACTTCTGTTACATCTTCATGTATTATCACTTTTCTTTAGTTTTTCACAAATTACATTAATTGCAGAATTTTGCCTTTATAGCATTCAAAATCTATTCCTTTTTTTTTTTTTTTTTTTTTTTTTTTTTTGTATAATTTTTAAATTTTACTTTCTTAAGCTCAAAATATGCCAGCAACATTTTCTTCCCCAAAACAATATAGGACACATATTAAAAAACTATACGCAAGAATCTCAGTTAGTCAGGAGGAAAATCACTTTTATGACCCATCTGCTTTTCTGGATCATTTTATTCTCCATTCTTAAAATTTCCTGATGATCTGGGCATTAAATCATTCTGGATTTCAGACTTTGTACTCTATATCATTTTATAGTGTAGGAAACCCTTGGCTCATAAAAGTAATGGAGATATTGCATTCTGGATGTAAGCCTCCATCTTAAAATAATCTAAATTATTAAATGATATATACAAGGGGAGTCTAAACTGTTTAAAGAAAGTAAGAGGGGTGACAGTACCCATCCAACCAAGCAATAATTAACCATGGAAGTAATGAATGAATGGGTTTGCATTCCTCTCTGAGAGGCAGAATATCCTGCACGATGGATCAGATGTGGTGGATATATGGCTTGGCTTCGTCACTCACTGTACTTTTACTTCTGGGGGCACATGAAATCTTTAGCATACGAGAAGCCTGTGGACTCGGCTAAAAATGCAACAGCGAAAATCATTTTTCTGTAGACAAAATTAACATAATACCTGGAATCTTTGAGGGTGCACCAGTCATTCATTTGCTGATGTGAACTGTGCAAAAACTTTGCTTTCTCAACACTTGTAATTTCATGTTTGGATTCTAATTTTTATTTTTTCTGCCACTATCAGAGTGTAGTGTGACATTGTAATTATTGCACGTCCTATCACCCCTCTTATTTTGTAAAAACAGTGTATACTTACCGTGTACAAAGAAAGAATAGAGAAATGCAATAATGTTTTAGTTATTCTATAGAGTCTCCATGTTCTTTTTGGTAGCATACAACATGGACTATATGTAGAAGACAAAGTAGCAAATGCTCGCTATGTCTTTGAAGAATAAATACTGCAGAAGAAGGTTTTAAATAGCCTTTTTATTTAAACTAAATTAAGCAGATGCACACACGTGGTGCTCACAATTCACTACCACTTGTGGCTAACTAAATTAACAGAAAAATATAAAATATAAAATGCACATTAAATTAAGAGGGCTAATGACTGGCTCCTTAGCTTAAAGCTAAATTGACTGTACATAGCAAAGCAAAGCCTAGAAATATCATTATAAGCTGAAAGGTGTTCAGTACTGACTAGAGAGCTAATTTCAAACACGTAGCATAAACTCGGAACTAACTCTGCTACTACTTCTCGTGAACTCTTAAAACACAGCTTAAATACTGCTTCTGAAACACATTTAGACTAGCATACTACATCATTATAAATTTACATTCCGGCAGAAAATTGAAATCGGGAAGGAATGTAAAACTAAAAATAATTGGTTAGAATAAAATAAAGTCTTTACAAATCAAACAGTATATGTTTGATGCTAAACAATTGGTCTAAATTCCACAATCAGCCAATAGTCTGTGTATGTATTTGTACAATAGATAGAAATTGATGCTACATCATTATTGACACATATAAGTGAAAATTTGTATTAAAAATGTTGGAAACAAATTAAAATGAAAAATTTATAATTTTGTATTTGATAATACAGCCAGTATGAAAAAAATGGGAAAAATCAGAAAACAGTTTCCAGCTTATATCTCTTGGTTGTTCTCCACGTACATATATAATTTACTGGCCAAAGATTTATATATGTCCGTTGATATTTAAATTATTCAAGTCATAAAGTATTTTTTGAGTCACCAACTTTGTTCAAGCCCAGTTAAATTAATTCGTGTAAATAAATAAACTGAAGTGCATTAGAATTCAGTATGCAACTTCCTTGAAAGTTATGTAAAGATTTTTATGTAAATTGTGGAAGAAAACAGGGATGCAATTTCTAAGAATTTTCAGTCAAAAGTGCTGTTCTGTAGCTCTCTTACTTCATATGTAGTTCATTTTAGTTCCTTTGAATGGAAATCAGAAGAATAGTTGCAACACTGTTGAAGCTGTCAAAGTTTGTGAAGATCTTGAAAACATCTTAAAAATTTTTCATAAAGCATGCATAAAATTATTTAGGACACAATATGAACAAGCACCATTGTTAGCTAATTTTTAGTATATATTTTATTACCAAAATTTAAAGCATAAGCCGTATAAGCAACTGAAAAGGAATAGACATAGCAATTGGTGAAAAAACATACTTAAAAAAAAAAAAAAATACTTGCAACAACTGCTTTGTTGAATATAACATTCAAATTTTCAAATTTATAATTCATGTTACACTTCAGGACTCTGGTTCTGCAGGAGTTTTTTATTTTATTTATTTATTTATTTTTTTTTAAGGCAGCTGAGTTATTGACCATACTTAAGTGGCAAAAATAAATACTCTTGAGAAAGAGTGCATAGGCAGAAAAGATCTGGATGTGATTGAAATATTAATCACAGCAAGATCTGTATCAGCAGGTTTGAAGAATGTTTTCTACTTTGTAAATTGTTCACAACAAATTAAGAAATCAGTTAGAGGAGATCAAATTCAGTTGAACAATCAGCAAAAGATCTTTTACTTTAAAGCTCTGAATGCAAATAGATGTATTACAGGTATAATGTGATGAAGTAACTGTTTTTAAAAAGTTATGTAGATTGCACATTAATTGCCATTCCTGTTTTTCTACTTACTCTCATTGCTTATTTTGTTTATATAAAAAATTTAAGTGCAAAAGTGTTTTTTTTTTTTTTTTTTTTTTTTTTTTTTTTCCCCATGCACTTGTACAAACCTGTATTGCACTTGTACAAACCTGTACGTAATATTAGTTTATTTTCTTTGAGATCCATCAATATGTGGAAACTATTTAATAAGTTAATGTAAATAAATTTCAAAAATGTTGTTTCACCCTGATTATGTTTAGGCCATACAAGTAGTGAAAGCTCTGGAAGTGAACAGAACATCGAAAGTGAAGATGATTTTCAAGCGGTTGACAAAAATGATATTGATCAAGAGTTGCTGAGAAAAGTAACATGCCTCCGAGTAGAAAGACAAGAAATTGAGAATAGAATGAAAGAATATAAACGTAAAATCAAATCTGCTACTTTGAAACAGAATATTTCAGTCAGAAAAATTCAGAAAATCAATGATGCTTTTACTGCTGCTTTAAATGAACTAAACTCTGTTCTGGTAAGTATTTATCATAGATCTAGTCTTAATTTAATGTTTTTTGCTTTTTTGTTTATTGAAATCCCAATGTGAGATATTTGCAGAAACACTTATTTTTAAATTAAAAGTATTTCATCATATTTCAGTATAAATATTAGTAATACATATTTTTGATACAGTTTGATTTATTTTAAATATTTAATTGTTTTCACCTTATTAACTTACTTTAAATTATGCTATAATAGATACTACTTTTAAGTTACTAAGCATAACTTACTTGTGTTACTGCGAGATTTAAAACAGTACAAATTATTAGTGCTTTCAATTAAGACTGAGAAAATAAAAGTAGTTATAGAAAGCACTGTGTATATGTTAGTGGAGTTATCTTTGGAGTTGGTTATTTCTATGAAATTTTCAGAAGATATTTTAGTCTCTGAAAAAATAAATGGTATAGTTTTAACATGAAATCCCAATTTTTAATTCATATTTTGTTACGGAACCTAGGATTCAAAGGCATTATCATCATTACATAAAAAATGCACATAATTTTTCATTACTTCTGCCTCCCCCCCAACATCCCCGCCTTTTTCCCCCTTTTCTCGTGATTTTTTTTTTTTTTTCCTTTCTTTCTTTTGTTAAAAAAATACTTTATTTACTAATCTATTTCTCCCTATTACATTCTTCTCCCTTCCTGCCTTTTCAGCATATTATGTAGAAACTTCTGGTTTTTGATAGCAATTTAAAATATATGCAGGGAAAAGAATTGTGTATAAATGGCAAAATTTTATATAATACAAGTCCAATGTACTGTATTTTTCGATTCTGAAGAAATTAGAGACATCAGTTCAAATGAAATGATGTACATAATCTTGGCTACAAAAATAACACTAAACTTTTTATTCTAAACATTTACACTCACTTATCCATAGCATTTAAAATTGTCTGTTCATGGTCAGAGTCAAAACACAACAGTTAAAAGTTTTTGTCCTCCAGATAGTGCTGCTAAAGGTGGAAAATAAAGCAATTTTTAACATAATCCCACCTTTGAATTTTCAGCTCTTAGAATTCAACCCTCTGTGCTGGCCTTATTTTCTATCCTGATCTAGTCATTTTTATTGCTGGAACATCATTGTTGGGAGATCTGGGGAGTGACAGGTGTTGTTATTCGCTGGAGAAGCACTGATCATTTTCCATTTTTAAGTTGACTGTTTCTTGGGTGGACTTGGATCTCCAAGAGATACAATCAAATGCTGAAAATTCGCCGACCTGAAATCCGCGTTGCCTCTCAGAATATAAACATTCATTTTATAGGTTTTGGAAACCACAACATTGAGTACGAAATATCGAAGAAAAAAATACTTACCGAATATTGACAACATAATTATCGAATAATAATGAGTCAAATTGGAAATACCAAATTATTGATATAAAAAAGTTTTAAAAAATAAGATGAACTAAATAAGTTTTTTGCCCTCTGATCTGCATCGAGGTAAAAAAGTAGATGATTCGCTCAACTCTTTGTTCAAGTTCACGATTCACGTTGTTGTATTTTCTGAGCTTTGTTATTTCATTTCACGAGATTGTTTAGTGCTGCCTTTTTTTTATTCGGATATTTTGTGGATAAATTAAGAATATTTTTAATCTCAGCCCTTTTTAATACAATCACAGATAAGAAACGCACTCGTGATTTTACTGCTTGCAACGTTGAAAAACGTAAACACGTTGCATTGGCGGTAATGCAAGAAGTGCAAATTCTGCAAAAGATGGAAGCAGGTGCTACTCCTCGATTTATAGCAGAATAGTATGGAATTGTGACATGATTGTGTATGATATACGGAAAAATAAAGTAAAGCTGTTGAAATTTTACAGCAACAGTGATTCTAACACCGGAATCCGAAACCAGAAATCTTTGCATGAGGCAAAATCGGCAAACCTCGATGCTGTGTACATATGAATAATATAATCAATTTATATATGTAAAAATAATTTAATGTATATAATAATTTAATTAAATGTATCTAATACGCCTTATTCATTTTTGCACTTTTAGTCCGAATATTGTGCTTTATGTTTTCTGTCCTGAAATCCGCAAAATCCGCACAACCTCTGGTCCCGAGCTTTGTGGATTTCTGGAATTCTACTTATAACCTTGTAACTGCTTATTAAAGTCCTTCCAATTTTGTTTTGGCTTTTACTAATTGAATATATTCATCATTTTGTTTTAAAATATGAATTACTCTTACCAACAAGCAAATGATCTTCTTACAGTTATCACTAAAGACTAAAATGATGTCTGCTTTCTTTATTGGCTGAGCATCTGTCACATAGGGATAACTTTGTTGTAAATGTCTAAAATAATCATTTCTAAATATTTTGTTTAAATTCTACAAAAGTCTTTTCTGATCAGTCAGTCTTCTATTCAGAGGTGGAGTCTGTGTGACTGAGACCTGTCGCACCTGTTTCCTTAACACCTTGTAAAAAGATGGAAGGTGTGATGGGACTCAGTTCCTCTATGTCATCTGAAATCTAAGTTCATAATAGCTTCACAGTCATGTAGGACTTTCATAATTTCTACACGACCAAGTGATGAGCATGCTAAAACCTTTCATAAAATTCTTTTCAGCATTCCTATCAGACACTTCTGCCATCTACCCCATCGCAATGTGAATGGTGTAAGTTTTCTTGTGATTCTGTTAGGTTAGCTGCTCATTACCGAAATGTGCTCACAATCTATACACTTGAACAGTATTATTGCCAGTAAAATTAGCTCCCTTATCTGAATAAATGTTTGTGGTTTTCTTTTTTGAGCTGTGAATCATCGAAATGCTCACAGAAAGCTTTCTGCTAAAAGCTGCAGGTGAAAATAACTACCCATGATATCTGATCTGCATCTAATATCAGAGGTTTAATCAACTCAATTTCTAGAACCTCAAAAACAGACGTTTACCCGATATTCAGGAAGGCATACCATATACACTTCAGAAGCGTTAAACTCAAAATTTTTGCAACTTGGCACAAGTTTCAGTGATTCATTTGATAGGCTTTCAGGTCAAGATCGAATATTCTTCTCTTAGAGTTTCTATAAGGAATGCACTTCTACATGTTAAACATTTCATGTTTTTTTGTCTAATCATTCTGGTTGCAACATAATGCTGAGACAGAAGTGTGATAGGGAATCTGAAATTTTCTGAGTCATCTCAGAACTTTTTTTTTTTTTTTCATTTTAAATTTCACAACTTCTTAAGTTCAATGATATTTTTGAGGTAGGCCATTGGTCAGAAGGCTTCTTCAGCTATTTGAGATCCTCCACCATTTTTATTTGTGGTGTCAAAATATCAGGATTACCTCCTCGAGAAGGAAGATGAACAGAGTTAAGATTTCCTGGAACACATCTCCCAAACAAAGAATTGATTAAAAATTGTATTACTTGGAGAAATTCTTGAAGGAATGTTCCACACTGCTGTTCAGTTTTGATCTATATCAAAGCTGTTGAAGGATCACTTCAAAGATTGGGGCATCCAGAAGAAGTTTCAATTCTCAGATATATACACAGGCTGCCTAAGCTGCCTTGCTAGCATCGCAAAATATCTATAGAGTCTCTATCTTTGTTATAATAATTTAAATTTAACCAATAAGCCACTTGAACCTGAGCAAGTAAAATTAATTGATTGCACCAAATTTTAAATCTTACTTTTGAAGATTATTCATCCCATTTGAGCTTAATATACAAAGTTCCTTATAGCATCACTATAGGGATAAGTTTCACAGGTGCACTAAAATCAGTGCACTCTTTGTATCAGTGGCAGCAGTTTTCTTTTAATGAAGCATTAATTTCCAATCGCAGGACCGTCCGAGTTTTAATGTGAGTGTGTCTCGAGAAAGCATCCAGATCATTTGCAACACTGATACAGTATTACTGTTAGTTTTTGTCAGTGGGAAATTTTGATGTATTGAATCGCCGACACCTCAAATTGAAGTACCCAGAAGATACAGTAATTTTGGCTTCTTTAATAAACTTTTCTACTTCTTTGGTAGAATTTAGAATTCTTAATGAATTATCAATGTAGAATGAATTGCTTAAAATGTGTGCAGTAGTTAACAAATTTGCTGGCACTTGGCTCAAATGATGATTAAGCACAGCTGCTAAGAGAAATGGGCTCAATGTCACTCTAAAAATTGTTCTGTTATGGTGATATACTTTTACATTATTTCTGTGGCTGAATAAGGAAAATCTTAAGAAATCACAATCCTGTTCTTTTATACTTATTTTTTAAAAAGTTTTTTTTAATGTCTAAAGAAACTAAGATGTAATATTTTCAAAACTAATTTAAAATCCTAAGTAAGACTTCAGTAAAATTAGATTCCATTATCAAACAATTGTAAAGTGATAAAAAAAATTTCGTTCATCCCAAATTATTAAAAACAGACCAGACTTTCATGGTTTGGTTTGTTTCTATGATAACTGGCCAATGGGATGAGTAGCAGTTTCTTACTTATAAATTACACATTCTGTTGTTCCATAATGTTCTCAGAAACTGGAAACATCATGATAATCTTTTTGTTTGATTAGAATTAGCAAGTTTCAATTCAATCTTACAGTCATGTTGTTTAGGCTAGAATTTTATTGTCAGGTAAAATGGAACTATCAAGTATTCACAATATTGATCATCTTCACTTTATTTCGCTGTGTCTAGAAAATTATATTCATTTCATCTTTTAACAGAATTTTATTTCTGTTTTCAGCATTAGAAAGTGTTTTGGTATTTGAATTGAGCCGTTCTAACAGTTCTTCAAGCTCATTAACACTAATTTCTGATTTGGTTCTATTTTCTTAAATAATTTTGTTATGGCATATCATAGCAAAGTTTTTTTTTTTTTTTTTTTTTTTTTTTTTTAATCTTCCTTTTTTTTTTTTTTTTTTTTTTTTTTTTTTTTTTTTTGCATTTCTTTCTTAAATTTTAACTTGCATACAAAAATATATTTTTCAAAAGTAAGAAATAATTATCTTTCAAATAGAAAAC